ATGCATTTCTCTCTCTCTCTCTCTCTCTCTCTCTCTATATATGTTAGGGATAGAGTGTTTCGTAGCATCCTCGCGTCATATGGTGTTTTAGTCTGGCAGGGGTAAGAAAATATATAAACTTCGTAGCCTCCGTAGACTGCATTGTCCGAACGTTTCATTTTCTGATAGGACCTCTGTTTGACATCTTCCTATACAAAGACAGGCCTACTATATTGGGCTATTAGGGGGTGCAACATGTTAGTGAAATCTAATATTGCAACCATGCTTTCAAATCAGCGAATAATCCATGGTGAACATGCCAACGCCAGAATATGAGATAAATGACTAATATTCTCGCAGCAGGTGACAGTATATGTTACAAAGAAGCTAGAACGACCTAAGAGCCAAGGTCCAATGATGTCATGATAATATCTGAAACTATTGCAGAAGCGCCCTATGTTGCCCTATGAATAGCCTGACTGCATGTGCCCGATAGATTTACAACCTGTCCCTCCGAGGCATGCTTGGGAACAATGTGCTAAGCGCTGTTCTCAAGCACCAGCATAGTCTACTGATCTGAATCGAGAAAACTGCAGATTCTTGCATAAATAATCCTTGGGGTATGGCTAGAAGGGCCGGTCAGCTGACTACCTCTTACCCCAAAAGAAAATGCGTAGAATTATCTCCGACCGTTATACCTCCACGATTCTGATCCTTTCCTGCAGTCATCAAGGGGTTCTTCGCGGCAAGTGGCCTCGATCCAAATTACCTATCCTTTGTGGCTGAAAAATACCCCTTATTCACATGTTGTCTGACTGGCAACTGTAAGCGACATGAGCGTCTACTGAACATCCTGGCACCATGCCGAACCTGGCCTCTCATATTTTGTCCAGAAGTTCAGTCATGTTGTCAGGTTGCGTTTATGGAATAATGCAATTAAACCTCCGAAACATGTGATATGCTTCTGTGATTATCTCGGTGTTAACGACAGCAGTTCCAGTGGTAAAGATAGAGCATGGTGAAGTTTGTTCTGCCCCGTTCTTTGTAGTCCTGTACCTCACTGCCGGGGAAAGATCTCTTTGTGCATGCATGTCTTAAAGCGCGACGACTGTGTCTTCACAGAGGCCAAGAAAATAAACGATTTCCAACGGGGCTGTAAATCCCGAAAGATTCCTGTTTGAAACCCGGCTGGATCTGTACCTGAGCCAGAGCCTGGAGCGCCAATCAGATGGAGCTGTTCCAGTGGGTGAGAGTGGAAGCCAAGACACTATCCGAATGTAACCTGGCCCTAGCTGCGATCCACCACACGAGACTCACGGTCACACTGCCTGTGTGCGCATGGAATAATGCCATTATGGCGAGGGCTATATTTGGCTACGTTGCACAAGTACAAGGGCAAACAATAGACCGTCCTTCTATAATGGTGGACAGATAACAGAGCATGTTTGCGGGTTCGATTTCTTCCAAAACCTGCTTGATGCATGCTCGATAGATCCGGTTGGACTGGACTCAGTGTGAAACGGGTCATTTCACAGGACAGACAACCACTGGATGGCCCTGCAATCATTAGCCCTCACCGGTGCCTGTGGGAGCCTGTCTGTCAGCGAACATGCTCCACCGTCAATTTCCCCCAAATCCAACAGCGACAAAGAATACGCGAACGCCACCACAGCTCTGAAACCGCCAAGAAAGACCCTCGGGGGCGGATTACCCGACGGCATTTCAGCGAATCTGGACTTCGATCGGACCCGTCGGCGTTGAAGCGTTGGCTGCTGCGATCTCCGCTGCTAATCTCTCGGTAAGCGCCGAGCAATCTAATTGATCGACTGGACTCATGGATGCCCTGCTTTAATTCTATTAAGGGTTCAATTGGGCTTTTTCGGTTAGTGGGGTCCGTTGGTGGTCTTTGAACTTTGTGCAGGGTCTTGAACGTTGGATTTCTTTATATACCCTCACCGTCGTCTCTTTGGGTACCCACCTCTTGCTTCACATTCTACAAGTCATTCCTTTCTTTGTAGTCATTCTTTTCTAGCCGACCTGCTTGAAGCAGGTTCTCACTTATTCATTCCTTACGTTCCAACGTCATTCAACTGTCAATCTGTGATTGATCCTTACATTCCTTTTTGTGCAAGATGTTTCGATCCGCCCTGTTTCTCCTCCTCGCTCCCTTGGCGCTCAGCCACACAACCTTCACCACGCTCTACGTGGACGAAGTTAACCAGGGCGATGGCACCTGCGTCCGTATGAACCACGATGCCAACACCGCCACATACCCCATCGAGCCCTTGTCCAGCAAGGATATCGCCTGCGGTAGGAACTTGACGACCCCCGCCCCCAGATAAAGCCGGAACGACATCAACTAACACAGCCCGGAATTACAGGCAAAGATGGCGAAAAAGGCGTCGCCCGTGTGTGCCCCGCGAAAGCCAACTCCCTCCTGACCTTCGAATTCCGCGCATGGGCCGACGGCGCCCAGCCGGGCTCCATCGATATCAGCCACAAGGGCCCCTGCGCCGTGTACATGAAGAAGGTCGACGACGCGACGGCGGATAACAACGCTGCGGGCGACGGATGGTTCAAGATCTGGCACACGGGCTACGACGAGAGCACCGAGAAGTGGTGCACGGAGAAACTGATCGACAACAACGGGTTCCTGTCTGTGCGGGTGCCCTCGGATATCGAACAAGGCTATTACCTGGTCAGGACGGAGTTGTTGGCACTGCACAACGCTGCCTTTGCGGACCCGCTTGACCCACAGTTCTATGTCAACTGCGCCCAGATCTTTGTGCAGGGTGGTGGCAGTGCGAAGCCCGAGACTGTTAGTATTGGTGAGGGCTATTACTCGCTGGATAGCCCCGGCGTGAAGTACAATATCTATGAGAAGCCCCTGAAGCTGCCCTATCCTATCCCCGGCCCGGCTGTCTATGAGAGTAAGGGTGTTGCGGAGCGTTCGGTCAGTCCGGCGGAGAAGAGGGCTGTTGCTGCTCAGAACAAGGGTCTCAAGCCTGCCGGTTGCATCTTGCAGCGCGATAACTGGTGTGGGTTTGAGGTTCCTGACTATAGTGATGAGAACGGCTGCTGGGCTGTATGTTCTTCTTGTGGATTTTTAGTGTTTCATGGTCACTGCTAACTCGTTTCTAGTCTTCCCAAAAGTGCTGGGACCAGAGTGATGTGTGCTACAACACCGCTCTTCCCACGGGTATCCACGCTTGCGACATCTGGATGACCAAGTGCAATGGCATCGACGATGCCTGCAGAAGCGGCGATTTCAACGGACCCCCGAACAAGGGCCAGGTTCTTACGCCGGAGCCCAAGAAGCTTGGGGGATCGACCAACATCTTCAAGAGGGAGGTCAGGAAGTACAAGAAGTGGATTGCATGAGCGAAGCATGGGCCATGGAGTAACGGGCGTAGTGATTGATGAGACTTGACGAATCGCTGCACGACAGCACAAGATAGAGCATTTGTTAGCTGGACTACGGAATCGTATTGATTGAATATCCTGTGCCACCTTTTTTCCTTTCCGTTCTTTTCTCTTTTCAGATTCTTATATTTCACGCTGATGCTCCTTTCCCTGCTTGTAGGGAAGGCTGCATGTTCGCTCCGGAGGTGGAGCAAACCTCCTTAGTCTGGTTCGACAGCGACGCCGTACCGTTCACTATTTACGAGTCAGACACACTTGTAGGCGGAATTTGGTGTATATTAGCGGTGCCCTGGTCCGCAAGACGTTTTAAATCATTGCATATCGTCGCGTTTGCTGTGCCGGCCTCGACCTACCCTCGGGGCATCCCTAGGGCTGCCTTGCTCTTGTCAGCTTCTCTGCTTGCCTGGGGGAAGAAGTCGCGTTCAAAGCCCTCCCCAGTCGTGGTAGACTCGCACCCTGGCAATTAGTTCTAGATTAGAGTATAGGTCACCGACATCTTTCTATACTACTATTTTTCTGAAACTATCTATAAGCTCTCGAGTAGATACTAGTTCAGAGACTAGACAGATCTAAACGGCTTTAAAAGAGTATAGAGCTAATCCTCGAAGGACATGTTACTCTACAGTAGCCAAGACAGTCAAGTAAAATTAATACGAGGAATCATGCAGAAAGGGTACATCAACAAGGCTCGAGAGTGGTACGCGGGATACACAGCAGCTGAAACATAGGAGACGTGTTCAATCTCGCAACTCAGTTTCTCCCCACTTAGGGGTGGCTTCATAAATGAAACGCGGGTGAGACAAGACTTCTTTCTGATACCCTTTAGACCGAGCAAAGGATAAAGAATGGTAAGGGCAAGGTTTTCACAACTCCCACGAAACTGATAACCCTTGATTTAAAATCCTATGAAAACAACTATCACAAACAGCTACAATTCACCCAGTCGTGTTGAAAGAGGCCCCATAGGAAGACAAAATCGACATCTTAGCCTTGAACGAATTAATGGAGCATGAGGAAGAATAAACGAAGATACGAAAGGCGCGATAAGCTATCTAAATAGTGGCTAAATGCCTGCCACAGAGCACATTCACATTAGGCTTCAGATTACCACACACAGGTGCATTGCGACGGATGATTGAGGCTAGAAGTGAGACTCCACCTTCTTTTGGCTTTCGTCTATAGCCCAATCACATCGCGAAGTCTTGGATCTGACCAGTGAGGCCTGAGCCTCAGTGAAGCCTCTGGCCTCAACGGCTGGGTTATACCCTACCCCAGAAAGACGGGCAACATCAGCGCTATCCACAACTGTGGCCGGCTTCCCGTCTGCTCTCTTGTACACAGTGACCACACCAAATCCACCCATTCCGACGTTGTGGCTCAGGGCAGCACGTGCGCCTTCGACCAGTCTGTTGTTAGCCCAGCCGCGCAGCTGCCACACGAGCTCTGCGCATTGTGCCAATCCAGTTGCTCCCAGGGGGTGCCCTTTGGAAAGCAAACCTCCAGACGGGTTGACTACCGTTTTGCCACCATAGGTGATATCTCCTCGGCGGACATACTCAAACGCCTTTCCTTTCTCTGCGAACCCCAGTGATTCAAGTGCGAGCATTTCAGCGGGTGCGAAGCAGTCGTGCAGCTCGCACACTTTGATTTCGTGCACAGATTTCAGGCCAGCCTGATCTAGGGCAGTTTTCACTGCAGCTTTGGTAATACTGCTCCCAGCGGCAGACTCGAGGCTTCCGGCGAACAGATCAGGGCTGTCGGTTGCTGAGCCTTGACCCGCAATCAGGATGGCTTGAGATTTCAATTCAGGTCTCTGATCGAGGAACGCCTGAGAAACAAGAACGGCGGCGGCAGCTCCGTCGCTGGTAGGGCAACATTGAAGCTTCGTGAGGTGGCCCCCCATTTTCGGGGACTCGAGAATTTGCTCTAAGCTGTATTCATCTTGAAACTGGGCATACGGGTTGTGCTTCGAGTGCTGATGATTGATTCGCGCAATTTCCGCAAAGTCCTGAGGCGAGGCTCCGTAACTAACACGCAATGTCAGTCCTCATCTCGAACGAAGATTGCTTGGTTATTCCTGCAGTCGTGCACATACCTCTCAATGTATCCCTCATGGAATCCTGAAGACAGTGCGTGCCGTGGAAAAGATAGAGGCCGGGCAGGCTGCTCGTGCCCGGGGCGGTGTTTATGAATACAACCACAAGGACGTTATTCTTTACAGTGAGTTCACACATACCTCACCCGACTAGCTCTGGGAGACATCTGACGCGTATTCTCAAGACCTCGGCGTTACGGCCAAACGCAATGATTTGCCTCTTGTCCTCGAGACGGATCTGAACTTTCAGCCGGTACCAACTTTTGGGACCATTCCAGCCTTCTTCTCTCGCTTGCCCGTCGAGTTCAAAGATATTTTGCCCAAGTGGAACCCACTGGGCTACGTCCATGGAGAGCAATACCTCGAGATTCGCAAATATCCCATTCCAACTGCAGGCAGGCTTGTCACGCATAGCCGACTCCTTGAGGTGGTCGACAAGAAGAAAGCAGCCATTGTGACCATGGCTCACATCACACGCGATGAGGTTACCGGGGAAGATGTGTTTTACAACGAGGTCTCTCTGTTCGTGAAAAATGCTGGTGGCTTTGGCGGCCAAACCCAGCCCAGTCTCAGCAACTCAAGGACATACACGGCGCCGGATTTCATATGTGAAGATAAAACATCCGAGGAGCAAGCGGCACTATACCGGCTGAGTGGTGATTATAATCTGGGGCATATAGACCCCGCTGTTGGTAGGGCTGTTGGGTTTCCTGCCCCGATTCTTCACGGTCTCTGCTTCTTTGGTATTTCGGGGAAACATATCGTCCAACAATATGGCCGATACAAGAGTATCAAGGCCGCTTTGTTGAGAGTGTCTTCCCTGGGCAGACCCTCCGGCCCGAACTGTGGAAGGAGGGTAAAACAGTCACTTTTCAAACAAGAGTTGTTGAAACGGGCAAAGTGTGCATTGCCGGTGGAGGGGTGGAGCTATTGACTGATAGTCAGAACAAGCTGTAGCTGCATGATTCTAGTAACTGGTGCATTAGGGCGGCAGGCTATCTTCTTGTATTTGCTATGTACGCCTTTGTTTTGATTGTATTATTTTTCATGTTTCGGTGGAAAGGATTGCTTTGCGCTGTAGAAGTCAATACGGTCGTTTTAGGCACTCCAGTTGCTGTCATGTAGTTTTAGGTAGTATTAAGTCGCTGAGAATTATATTTAAATAATATGCTATTTGATTTTACGTATTGTCTTAAACTTCTACTGATTTAAGAAAGAATTGGGGATGTAGTCGCCAGAAGCACTTCTTTATATATCTGTCTTTATATATCTGTGAAAGTTCTTCGATGACAGCAAAATATATTTTGAGATGGAAATACGTTTTACTAAATATACACCCAATCCTTTATAAAATCATTCGATATTTCAACGTAATATATTTTATTAAATAGAGAATCGATTAGATCTAATCTTAAGTGATTTACTATGATATAAGTTATCTCTAAATTTTACGATTGTTTGTAACTGTAGAAAAAATATCTCAATTTTGATGTGATATAATTCCCTTATCACTCTGATATATTGGATCCTACAGTCTATCTATATGGAGAATATCCTTCGTCTTCGCTTCTTCCTGTCAAGATGATGTGGTGCATATATTATCAAGCTATATGTACAAAGATCCACATGCGTACATACATAGATCCATAAAACAATATCAAAATCCTGTCTAACCAAAACTCAAAGACGCCAGGCTATAATACAAGCAGGTCATATCACATTACTCATGATTTCGTTGTGCCCCAGAATCATCATTACCAATAGGCCGGAGCTCAATCGCACCAGGTTGTTTAGCGGGATCCACAGTGCCTGAATCAGTAACGACAGTTGGTTTGTCCTCCTGCACCAGCGGCTCTTCGTCCACAGCAAACCGCCACTGGGCGTCCGACCCTGGAAACATCCGGAATGCATAGCGTTTGTTTAATCGATCCAAGTAATCCCGGCGCTGGAGGCTGGTCCACGAATAAGTCCCTCGGAAGTCGCTCAGCATCCGACTGTTTGCAATCCAAGGAATGACGGATCCAATGGATCGTGGAATCCGTGGCCCTTTGAACCGACCCCGTCGCGTCCCAAACACGACCAGCACAACCAGCGTGTCCAGCGCAATGATAGACAGCGCGATGGTCAATGATGGGACCGACGGGACCATAGCCCAGGTGCTGTAGTAGACGGTAGCATTGGTGGCAGTGTATGGCTGCTCCAGTGGCTCTAGGTAGGTCGGTCCCCACAGAGAAAAGTAGGTGCTGTACACCCACTGGTAGACGGTCTCCGACATAGTAATCAGGTCTGCGGAATCCAGCGCGGACACCCTATTCTCTCTTTGCTTATACAAGCGAGCAACCAGGAAGCCCGCCCAATCATATGAAGACACGGTGGGCCCTTTTTGCTCCTCGTCGACAAAGCTTTGGGGAATGGAGGCGAAGACTTTGTTAAATTGGCCCAGACTAACCGTGGCATTCTCATACATGGGGCCGGAGGTAATCGCAGTGTTTGGTACAGGGTCATAATCCTGGATCTGACCCTTTTGGTCGAAGACAATGGAAAAGTTCTGCATCTGGACGTGCGGTTCACAGTGCAAAGCGATCGTGTTTTTCTTGGTCATGGCCGAGTCTCCTGTGTAATTCCATCGTCCAAGCACCAGAACCGTGAATGTTTGACATTGGTCCATGTCCTCGAGGGCCGCAGGAGAAAGGAAGTGAATAGAGAGGGGGATCTTGTCGCTCCTTTGCTGGAACATGTCCACCGTGCACTGTCGGCTCTCATTGTGAAACGGTTGGTACTGCCAATAGAATTGCCCCGTCGTGTCGTTCCTCTTCAGGTGCTCAGAAATCGATAATTCCTGGCATTCGAAGTCAGCGCCAATGCCGAGGGTCGTAGCCTCATATGAGGCAGTCACGTTCGGCTGAGTGTTTTTCAGGGGCACGAATGAATAATCTGGACTGGTCCACGGGATCATAGGCACCCCGCTGGTGATACTGGTCTGAATCAGATCGTACTCGGTGAAATCCGCGGCAAAGTCAGTTTGCTTGAATATGGAGTTGCTGTAGTTCGCCTGGATGGCTTCGGTGGAGAACCCGGACGTGGTGAGCTTTTGCGTGAAAAGTCCGCCGGAAACCACCGTGAGGACCGTGTTGACCACGCAGGCCAAGGATACCAGGCCCAACAAGAGATGACGGTCCCGGATGGTTTTCAAAAGAACTAGCCACGGGGTCTGGGAGGCGTAGTTCATTGACAAGGAGGCCCTCGCCTTCGCCTGTCCGCGTTGCAGATGGACCCACGGCTCCAGGATACTGATATTCCGCTGGATGGAGTTGCAGAGCGCTCCGACAGCAGAGGCAACTACGGAAGGAAGGAAGGATAACACGACCTGGAAGAAACTAGAATCCGACTGGGTAAGATGCTGGAAACTACCCTCATGGGCGAGCGAAGCGATGACCAATGCCATGATAGCAATGACCGCGACAAGAAGGAGGAACTCAAGAATAAAGATCGGAATCACCAGAAAGTGCGGCCTCGGATCAACGCGCGTGCGAATCCGGTCCCTCAGGCGGGATGAGGAGTCTAGTCTTGTCAGTGGAGTCGAGGGAACCATCCGGGGCCAGCCTAGTACTTACCGTGGCTCTCGCCGTCCACCGAGACTAGTTCCACGCGTCTTCCCATCGGTCCTTCCCGCCAGTAAAGTCGGACATTTCGAAGAACCATCCGCAGTTGTCGAGTCGAAAGCTGATGGAAATCGGACTGGGCATTACCGAGAATATTCGACGGGGAGAACAAGTCTGTAACCATGCTACACATCGCCCCAATGGAGCCTGGATCGCTTTGAAGGATATTTGGGCGACGCTGGTAGAAATACAATAGAGCAAGGGCCACGACGGTGCTCAAGAAGAGAATGGCCTCCGACAAGGTTGCTGCGAACGAAACGACGGCAATGGTGACTCGGTGTGCGAAGCGAACAGCGGAGACGGTCGTTGGAGGTATATCCGGATTGAACAAACGCCCCATGGTCAACACAAAGGCTTGAATGACAACTCGTTTGGTTTTCTCTTCGAATTCCCCCTGCTGCATGACGGTCGTGGTATCCAGAACGGGCATAGGCTCCAAGTCATCCATGTCCTGACTGACGACGGGAAGCTCGGTCACGGTGAGGTCGCCCATCGTGTCGTTATACTGCATGAAGAGTATGTCACTAGTGTAAGGTGCGCGATGAGAGAGGAGGCCCTGAAACTCGTCGATATTGAATTCCTGGCTGGTCAGATTGGCGGTGGTGTTAGCAATCACACGCACCGACGTGATGGAGCTGTTCGCATGCATATGGATCTCCGCCATGGCTTTGTGATACTCGATATCGCAAGCAAACATGGTTGCCGACGAAGTATATTGGGAACCCAGGGAGCTGATCGCGTCGGCAGGAGCTGTCGTTGCGTTGACGGATAACAGAACGCCGTATAGATCAAAAGGGTCGCAACCACGGGGACGGAATGCTTTTCGCATCTCGCCCGAGTCAAAGGTATCTGTCGTCCACACGGGCTCCCAGTATCGCACTTGCAGAAAGTCAGTGTCCGGGTAGAAAATACTATCGTATTGAAAGTCCAAGGAGCAATCCTGGTCCGTCCCGTTGACCAGGGACAACCCAGTCACGTTCCACGACAGTATCGGGTGTTCCACATCGGTTTGATTGATCGTCACCGGTAACGCATTATTTGTCGCCAAGTCGTGACAGGATAATTGCGACCAATAGATGGTTTGGTTGATTTTCCACACGGTGCTTTCCCGTCGGTCATTTGTAGGAATCTGCACGGGCGGTACGGCAAAGTCGGGGGACCGTGACTTCTGCGGACTATTGGCGGCAGTCGACGCAACGGCCGAATTCACAGAATCAAAACTGCTCCGTGCCTGAGCGGCGATCCAATTGGCCTGAGTGCCCAAGTCCACCAGATCCGGCCAGGTCTTCATCTGCTCATTGGAGATCACGGTGACCTCGCGCAGTTCCAGGAGTGTACTCTGCAGGGCAGGGAGAAACATACGAATGAGGACGGTTACAATCGACACCAATAGGGCCACCCAGTGACCCCGTTTGGCTGAAAGAAACGGGGTTACGAAGGTTTGACCGAAGTTGTAGTTGATAAAGAGCACGGAGGCCGGAACGCCTTCCGGTCGGGCCAGCTGGAAATACGGCTCAAGACGCAAAACATCGAAGTCGACGAGAGACCATAGGGTAACAAGGATGAGGGCGACGATAATGGGGATATAGTTGTAGGCAAAAGACTGGAGACTGGAGACTTCATCGGTCGCTTCCAAAAAGACCAGTCCTCCGTACCACGTCGTATAGCGTCGCAAACCCTCCAATATCAGCAACATCAAAAACATCAAAGAGGCGAGGAAGGTCAGGTAGATTGGGCGCAGCGTGAAGGGCCGCCACCCTTTCGGTTGCGGATGCGATTCATGACGAGCAGTGAAGAATTGAGATCCTGTTCATAATACGCACGCGGTTAGCGAGAGAAGGGCGCTTATGATTTCTCCGATTATTTCTTACTCCTTATGTTAATGTGCGACCACAGCGCTTGCAGCTTCCTCTTCTTCAATTCCCAGGACATGCTTGACCAGCACGTCCCATGGGAAATACGGCAGAGTCAGAGTATAGAGCAGAAGCGTTGGCATCGTCCACGGAAGTTAACGAAATTGAATATGGGCGGTACAGAGTAGGATTGTCCTCCCGGGGTGGTTTCTGATATCGGGGAAGAAATCCGGCATGACGGGGGACTGTGATTAGACCATACAAAATGGGGAAAGAACCAGCGAGACCGAATGATAAAGACTGGAATGGGAGAAGCGAAAGCAAAAGAGACTGTAAGTGGACAAGGGGGGGGGGAGAAGGTAGGGGAAGGGGGCAAGGGAAAGAGGATCTGGTGGGACGGGACGACTGGAGAGAGAGCAACAGGATGACAAGACAAGACGATGTTGACGACGACCGATGGATGAAGATCGACGGGGCCACCTGATTGGAGGCATGGCTTTGTGGCTGAGCTCCCTCCCGTGCCGCTTTAATCCGGCCATCGAGTATACCTAGTTGAGTACACAGTACCATACTCCGTACTACTATTCGATAATATTCTATTCTGTAAAGCAGCTGTGATTGCTATATAGTCAGATATTTTGAATCTGATGGTATTAAAATATATACCAGATGATAACTCAGTGACAAGTGAGTGTGTGTTTTCAACCACAGCGTAATCCTCTTTTTGCAGTCATCTATCCATAAATATATGTTAGGACATTCACAGGGAGAATGATAAGCGAAAGACGGCACGACTACCATGGTACTACTTGAAGTTGCATCGCTAATTTATTCAAGTTAAGCTTAGACGATATTTCCTAGTACTGTTGATTGTGTAATACTTGCGTTTTGCTTTTATCTTTCGTTCGAGTTAGTAGCTTTTTGAGTAGTAGCCATTTCCTTTACACAACACTGTTCGAGCTGCAACCATGATCACTTCGGAAACATACCAAACTGGTACTGATGGTGTACAGCCGTTTCCAATAATTCTCTACCCAAGGGGACTCATAGTGGCGTTACTTCAGGCGCATTTTTGTACCGTGGTGGTGTGATGTACACTTCTGTTTGGATTTCATTCTCTATGCCTGATGGATGCGGACTAGAACAGTTGCCCCCGGGTGTACGCAAGTCGATCGTTATTCGTTGACCCTGGGTATTTTTTCGCTCTTTTGTTTCTCCCTAATATGTGCGAAGCAAGATCCTTGCAGTAGTAGTGCTATTATTGAGGCATGGGTGGTCTCTGGCCTCGCGAATGCTGGATACACTTAGCATGACCTTATGTGACGAGTCGTAGGTACCATACAAAGGTATCAGACAATCGCCAAATATATGCCGTGGAAAAGTCGTGTTTCTATAGATACAAGGACAGGCATAGAAAGATGACCCTTAAAAGCAGCAACAGAATGGAGAATGCAGCCAAGAAGTCTAGGCATGAAGGATCATCTCATCGAACTGGCCAGTTAGAGCGGCGACCCTCACCTCCCCAACCAGGAAAGCCTGTCCTTGAATAGTATTACCAGGTTGGCTCGGGACTAGACCGACTCGGTAATGGCGGAAGAGGATTGCTTGTTTGGTTTGCCCTTTTCAGCATTCTGGGACCCAGTGTGGAGCTTGGAAATTGGCGACGAGCCACGCAGCCTCAGTGTGGCCGCGCAGTTGTGTGCTGGAAACCAAAGGATACCCGCCAGGGGGATTCCACTACACTGTAAGGAGAGCAATGATTGGTTGCACAGCGGAGGGCTATGGCGATTGAGTGCAGTCTCGATCCCTGACCCATGGTCCAGAGGATCTTGCTGCCCACTCAAGAGTCTCAACCATGGCTGGGTGGCGGTGTTTCAGGGTTCGTCTGCAGCTAAGCGTCTTTGGTCCCACCATGTCATCATTCCATGATCTGGACGGACCTTTATTCGGCCGGCTTTTCACTCCGTCCTTGATTGCTCTGCAGACCGAACAGGCAGTTCCTCGTATTTTTCTTGGCGGGACCTGTCAGACTTGTCGTATTTGATAAGCGCCATGGCGGTCGACTTTCTAGGGTTGGGTTGGTCGCGTGTTGAAATTTGAAAACGAAACAAACTTGTTTCTTTCTTCTTTCTTTACTTTTCCCGATTACATCAGCACACCCGATCACGTGCTGGATCACGTGGAACGGGAGGAACCATCGGCAAATCGGCAGAAGAAAGGAAGCGCCATGAACTGAATGAACGAGGATGGTCTGAGCGCCAAGGGAACAGACGGTCTTGGTCAATTTCCATGTCCTCCTTCACTGGCTCAAGATTTCCCAAATCAGTGCATGCCTAACAGACCTGTCAGATGATCGCCAAGAGTCGTGCTCATGAAGCGAGCCAGCATATCTCACCCTGTACCTCTTGCAATGCAACACGCTTAGGGTTTCAAATCCCACACCGATGGAAGTTGATTTAAACAATCACCTTCCGCGCGATCTCGTTTAAATAAGCAAAGAGGCGTCAATAACCCGAATTCCCATCGTATACACAACGGCAGCCACCCTTCTTGGCAGGTATATCTCTGAGCTTGGAATCCATCCCGTAGGAGCAGAACGGTAGTTCCACCAATGACTCGGAGTGACCTGATACCCCAAGGATCGTGCCATCCATGCCTCCCTATAAAGCCTAGGATCAGAGTAGTATGGGCGATAACTGCGGGGAAAAGGAGAGGAGGCCCATGCGGCCGCCCAGAGCGAATCAGAAATGTCCCTCTGTTCCTTCAGGCTTCGATATAACCTTGTTATATGCTACATCGGCTCGAATGCCCCGACCATGACCCTATGGGATTCGAGGGATTCTCGCTAATGACCTCATAATGGAGCTACCAGCTACTCTTCGTTCTCACTATTTTTAATCCTTAATATTCGAAAGTGGGGAGCGAGACATGTGGTTGTGGAGTCCCGGCAGGGTACATATGAAGGTAGAATGTGGAGGTGGAGATGGGGGAGAAGTCTGGGGAACTGTGCATACATACTCATCTGAACTAGGAAATCTCGTTGGTAATTGCATGACCCAGTTGACTTACAAATATCTATAGAGAAAGCTACGCAAAACAAGAGCACAGGGTGATCGGCTCGTGTTCATGAAACATGGATCATGGATGATGTCCCGGCGAGGCAGACCTCATGTAACCCTAACACAACGGCTTCGGTACAATGTGATGCGCTTAGAAAGATGACCAGAGCCAGGATCCGGATCCGTGGGACCAATCATTCAATGTCTCCTTTGCTTGTCCGGTAGGTTTCCTGCCCTCATTGGCACGAGCGATCCAATCGTAGCGTATACGCACCGACGCGACACGTCAGGAGATACATACAAATAACCCCCACTCAAACGACGTCGGCTCGTTACCGACGTGGGAGTTATTTTCCAGCGAGCTCTGTGCGGGGTCAGCTTTCTTCTAGGGAGCATGGCCTGTCACTGCTGTGCATACCACTGCTCCTATTTAAAGGGCTCTCTTGGCCGTGTAGATCGTTTCTTTCTCCTGATGTTCCCATGTGCATGCTGTAAGAGTACATCTGCCTTGGGTCGACCATCATGTTGGTTGGCAACATCTATGTCATTGCGGGCATCGCCGTCGTTGGCGGTGCCCTCTTTGGCTTTGATATCTCATCCATGTCTGCTCAGCTGAATGAAAACTCCTACAAATGTTACTTTAACCAAGGCCCTCAGGGCCCTCCATTCACCGACGATCCAGATTGCTCCGGCCCCAAGTCACTAGTCCAAGGAGGTATCACCGCATCTATGTCCGCTGGCTCTTGGCTAGGTGCCTTGATCTCCGGCCCGTTGTCTGATCGCATTGGCCGAAAGACTTCAATCATGGCCGCTTGCTCTCTTTGGTGAGTCCATACTTCTACTTGAGAGAGAGGAAGAACAAAGAAGCAAGGCACACGAAGAAGATAGGTTAATGCTACTGACATTCTGAGGGTAAAGGATCATCGGCTCCACGATCATGTGCGCCTCGCAGAACATTGGCATGCTCATTGTGGGCCGTATCTTCAACGGTCTCTGTGTGGGTATCGAATCTGCCCAGGTCCCCGTATACATCAGTGAAATCTCGCCGCCGTCGAAACGAGGTCGGTTTGTTGGTGTTCAACAGTGGGCCATCACATGGGGTATTCTTATCATGTTCTAGTAAGCTCTGGCCCACCAAAGAGATATCGTGCACCACCACGGACTAACCGGCCCCTCCAGTATTTCGTATGGATGTTCCTATATCGGTGAACGGAACGCCTTTGGATACAGCACGGCAGCATGGAGAGTCCCTTGGGGTCTGCAGATGATTCCCGCCGTTTTCCTCTGCCTGGGTATGATGATCCTCCCGGAATCACCCCGATGGCTGGCCCGAAAGGATCGCTGGGAAGAATGTCAAACCATCCTGGCGAAGGTCCACTGCAAAGGAGACATGAACCACCCGTTTGTAGCGCTTGAAATGCAGGACATCCGGGAGATGTGTGACTTTGAACGCCAATTCAAGAATGTCACGTACTTCGACCTCTTCAAGCCGAGAATGTTGAACCGCACCATCATCGGCCTCTTCATGCAGATCTGGTCCCAGTTGACTGGCATGAATGTTATGAGTAAGTGGCCCTTCTCCGGCACCTTGAAAGAATACCTAGACTAACACATCATCACACAGTGTACTATATTACATATGTCTTCTCGATGGCCGGCTATTCCGGAGATTCAAATCTACTCGCCTCTTCCATTCAATACATCATCAACGTCCTCATGACCCTTCCAGCCCTGATCTGGTTGGATCGCTGGGGCCGACGGCCAACCTTGCTCGTTGGTGCGGTATTGATGGCCACCTTCATGTACGCCAATGGTGCCATCATGGCTGTCCACGGGGAGGTCGTGCCGGGAGGTATTGACGGAGTCGCCCAACAGTCGATGAGATTACACGGCTCGGCAGCGAAAGGATTGATCGCCTGTACCTACCTCTTCGTGGCATCGTACGCCCCAACCTGGGGCCCCGTCAGCTGGACCTACCCGCCAGAGCTGTACCCCATGCGTCTCAGAGGTAAAGGTGTTGCCTTGTCAACGTCCGGAAATTGGGCGTTCAACACCGCGCTGGGTCTTTTCACCCCCCCTGCATTTGCCAACATTCGCTGGCAGACGTATATCATCTTTGGGGTGTTCAACACCGCCATGCTCATCCATGTGTACTTCTTCTTCCCGGAGACGGCCGGTAAGACACTGGAGGAGACTGAGGCTATGTTTGAGGATCCCAACGGCATCAAATATATCGGTACACCCGCATGGAAGACACGGGTGACGACAGGGCGGATTCAGCAATTGGAGAGAGGCAATATCGAGGGTCTCGAGTCGAAGGCGCAGCAAGAGCCGGCGGCTCGGGAGGTCGAAGTGGCTCAGGCGGAGCAGCAAACTGCGTCGTAGGTTGCATTGTGATGGAAACTCTCGCATAATTGTGTCAGAAAGCGCGAGTATACAAGGGGAAGGTCTGAAGATTCGAATGCACATTTTTGAAGTTTTAGTTAATAGCTTGCTACTTTACCTACATTTTTTGAGTCATTATGGGTCGGCTCAGGCCTAGGCGCATGCCTTTAGTAAGGTAATAACTCTAATTAATCCCTTGAAAATGGACATGCCAAACTATACAATAGTCGAACGACAAATCCAAGTCTATGTGTAGGTCAGACAAGGTCTGCTCAGCTAGCATATATTGTCCGTCGTCCAGCCACCACTTTTACATTCTCTGGTCGGGAGCTCAGACAAATAATAATATGATATTGGTGATGACAGTATGCAAACAACTTCTTGTGTATTGCAATGAATCTATACCCAATCAAACCCCGAAACGCAAGTTTTATCATAGAAATCAAAAGTCTCGTCTATAACTCTATACAAAATCCAATTTCCACAAGTACTACCAACAGCATGGCTAGGTGCACCTTGTAACATGGTTACCGCTGCAGCCTCGCAGCTAACTTTGAGCTTCCATGCATAGTCGATCCATGAGTGGAAACCAGCTTGATGGTGTCTTGTACTGTGATCATCGGTGGATTGCGTGGATGCTGCGTCAGCCGTAGTGCCGATCTACATTGCTCCCATTTATGTATCGTGGCCTTGCCATTTGGCCCAGTGAATTGCTTCTGTAGTTTAAGAAATACTCTATTCTCTACCTTCGAACAGTATTCACTGACATTCAGGATATTTATGCAAATCATCATCTCACAGTGAAATTAAGACCATGTACAAGTGAATTAAGCCCAAGGGCACAAATATGTAACTCATCTGAAAGATAGGCAAGGAAAAGACGGGGTCGTTCAAACCTGACAATGAAAGAAACAATGTGGTCGTTAACTCGTTCTCCCTACAGCCTCATCTTGGATGGAGCACCCCGTTGAGCAGCCGCATCATAAAGTGCCTGAATATCGTTCTTCCATTGCTCCTCATCCACACGCTTCACGCGGCGATCGTATGTCATCAGACCATTCACCTCGCCTTCAACGTCAGTAGTCTGTGTCCAGACACCACCGCTACATTCGAACCGGCGGATCTGGTCCTCGAATTCCGTCAACAGGATGTGACCGCGGTAGTTCCATGCTTCGAGTGTCTCATCGATCTCATACGTCTCGTTGATATGATTGATGGCCTCTTGGACGTTCCAGAGACTGGGCCAGTTAGTAGATGTCATGACCACACGTGGGGCTCAGTGAACTCACTTTTCAATGGAGACGTTGTGACCGATGCCTCCAAATTCTCCTTGGAAACCAATACGGCTGGGATCATGGGGGCTGGACGACAGGGAGTAAAATGGAGTTCCACACTGGGGATTGGCATAGTGATGATTATCCTGTGACCGTCAGCTATCATTTCGCGATCTAGCGTGGTCGCCTTCACTTACGCTGAAGTCGCCTGCGCCATGGTCTATCCAGCCGGATGTTGAATCGACCAATCTGCTTGGATCCAGCTCCTTCACTCGGTCTGTTAATTCGAACTCAGGGTAGTACGAGGTGATCTGGCCCCAGCCCTCGTTATAGATGACCTGCAAAGAAGGGTTAGAGTGGCAGAGACACGAACTCGACGAAGCTACTTACCCAGGCAATGATACTGGGGTAGCTCTTGAACTGGTTCACCAGGACCTCCAACTGTCTGGAGAACTCGTCCTGTTGCGACTCATTCGGTATAATGTCGCTGGTGGCACAAGCATCAGGTCTGGACAGGGGACGTGGCGACGGCATGTCCTGGATGACTAGCAGGCCTAGTTCGTCGCAGGCCCGATAGAAAAGTGCTGGCTCGACCTTGATCTGTTTATATGTGAGTATACCTTCCATGAGCTCCTGGCACCGTCTCACTTACATGTTTTCGAACCATGTTAAACCCAAGATCCTTCAAGAATTTGAGGTCGTATACCATAGCCTCTCGTGTGGGTGGCGTATAGAGTCCATCAGGCCAGTAGCCTGGTCAAGCGTCCCGAACATGAAGATGAATTCACCGTTCAACAACGGACGTACGACACCGTCGACCTTGCCTTTCGCAATCGTGCGGAAACCGACATAGCTGTGGACTTCCTCTGCACCCATCGTGACAGTCACGTTGTACAACTTCGGGGAGTCTGGCGACCATAGCTTTACACCGTCAACAAGGAAGTTGAAGGTCTCGTCTGACGTTCCCTCGCCGGATCCCACCTGTTCATCACCGTCATAGACCGTGACCTCGACTGGCGACGCGCTTTCTGTCGCAGTATTCACAGTGACAGTAACTAGCTCATTGGATTAGTATCAAGAAGATGCATATCGAAAGACACTACGTACCTTTGCCGTTCATGTCGGCGTCAAGATCCAGTCGGGTGATATGGTTCGCCGGAGCAGCTTCGATCCAGACACTCTGCCAAATGCCGCTGCAGGGCGTATAGAAGATATGTGCGGGGACTAGTCTTTGCTTGCCGATAGGAATGACATCGTCGCCGCTATCTGTGGGGTCATGCACAAAGACGAGGCTATCATATGTCAGCAGCGATCCGATTCCCAGCGGGGAGCGGCACGTACAGTTCGTTTTCGCCATCACGATTCACGAACTCTGTGATATCAAATGCGAAATGGAAGTAGCCTCCGCGGTGGAACCCGGCCTTTTTGCCATTGACGAAGACGGTTGCCTCATAGTCTACCGCAGCAAAGTTCACGAGAACATTCTGGTCTTTGAAAGACGGAGGAATTGTGAACTGCGTGGTAAACCATGAATACAAGGTATCTTTGCCTTGGATGCCTGGAGATGCGATGGTTAGTATGTAATCTAACCCAGTCCAGCAGGGAAGGCTTACCAGATAGGCCACTCTCCAGACAGGAAGGCACCAGAACCTCGTGTGCGAGAGGTTGTCCAAATGGGGGACTGTCAAGAGCAGCCAGGCTTTGTGCGTCCTGATACTGCCAGATTCCGTTGAGGTTCTTCCACTCAGATCGTTCGAGCTGCGGACGGGGATACTCTGGCCAAGGATCGGTGCCAGCTTTGTCCGTCCATGGTGTGGTCAATGGGGGTTCTTTGACGGCATACGGCGTCGCTTGGCGAGCCTGGTTGTGATGGAGTGCTGCGTTGCCTGCAGCTAGGGCATGATTTGCCCATAGAAACAGAAGGGAGGCACCAGGCAAATACATGTCTACCGCTGGTTAGAAGGTGTCAACTCCTGTCTGTATACTGCAGGAATCAACCCGTGCAGCACCGTGGACGGGCAATTTGCCCATGGTATTTATACTCGGAGCACCGGCCATCTTGACAGCAGCCTCGCTGGAGCCCAAGTCCCAGAACAGCCAATTGATTGCGGGCACGATACTCCGACAGGATCCCTCAGATAGCCCAGTGAATACATCCCCCGCACACGGCCATGACTCTTCGCTCTACCCTTGCAGGGGCGGCATCATGCGCCCAACAAGGTAACCCCGCAATTGTTAGAGTAGGGTTTTGCCGGTAGGCACAAGCCGAGCCCGGATAATTGGCAGTCGACTGGGCCCTCTTGGCACATTAGTTGGTGGAGTAGAGGATCCGCAGGGTTATCCCTTGGAACGCGATCGCTCGATCAACTTGGCCATCTTTGCATGATGGGTCGGAGGCACCATTCTAATCTGGCGTCGGATGCATCAATCTTGACATATCATGGATTCTTCTACGCTATTTTCTGTCCGTAGAGGGGAAAGAACAGAGATATGATGGAGGGTGAGGGTTGATATCGTACTTCCCGTTTGGGAAATTGATCCCCTGACCCGCCGAGACCTATTCTTGGCATCAGGCTGGCTGCTTTCAGCGCTCAGCTTTCTCCCGTGTCTCCTGAGCGGTGTGATAGCATAGCATAGGGGGAAAATGAAAACAATGTGATATGATCCATGGATTCAAGATGGGTCTCTGGCCCCGGTGGGGAGATATTGAACCTTAGTGAATGCCGAGGACAAGCCACCCCTTCCCCGTTCCAACTTTTGAGTCCGTTGACCACATGGACAAAGCATGAATCATTGGAGATCATTGGCCATGAGCCCCTGAGTAACAACGCCACTCAGGTCCATACACAATGCCACCATACCTGCTTGGACTTTAATTCTATCCTACAGTGGTCTTTGTTGTTTCAATCTGCCAGTGCCCCGAGCGATGAGTACTGTTTGCCCCAACCCAAATGAAATTAGGCCACCCAATAATGCGACAGATGGAGATTGGGCCGGATTACTTCGGATATACTGGATCATGAGATCCCAACTAAATCCTACTGTACTAGTAGATCGAACTTAAGAAGCTGTTGTCAGGTCTAGCGCGAAGAAAGTGACATCATTGATCCCGTTTCCATGGTATAGGCCAATCAAAGCCCTAATGACCTCCGAGCGAAAGGAGCTAATGCAGACAAGAACAGCAAGTTGTCATGTCAATTGGTTATTGGTAGACTATACACCGTGGAATGTGACTATAAGCCTTGGTCTCTGCCCAGATTAATATAGGGCGCGATGAGGCACATATTGTGGCGGTGGATTAATTCCGCAGAGTCTCAAAGGCTTTTGTACTGATGTAAGATTGATGTTCAACATCGCCCCGCATCTCGGTTATTCTCACGTCCAATATCAAGAACGGAGCAGGTATGAAAGAATAGAACAACTGCTTTCGGTTATGACTTTAGGCGTGGATAGAATCTGGTCACTGCCAACATTAAGCTATGTTACACCGGAATCTCTTCCGTCTGCTTAATTCTTTGATTTATTTTTAGTTTCTTTTCGAGTCTTGGTTTCCTTTCACGTATGACTCTTGGCAGTCAAACACAGACCTCTCCCTTTCACTTGGACCTTGTCTTCTTGGCAGACATGCTTGGTAGATAGATGTGTATGTGTGTGTGTGTGTGTACCGCCACTCGCTCGCCATCCTCGTCCCACTATGACCGTCCGTGACCGAGACGAAGGTGGACTAAAACATACTGGGAAAGAGCCTCTACTGTGCATTATGCAGACTGAAGTAGTTACAAAAAACCTCTCCACGTCAATGTAGATCCTTGTCTACTATACAATCCTGAAAAGCGTCTAAACAATTACCTACACAAGCAGTGGAGCGTTGGTTGACTAGTAACAAGTGATTTGGGCCTACTAGCCGATGGTATCACAACAGACTAGGATATGTCACATCCAAAAGTATTCCAGAGATTCTGGATACCTTCTGGTGTAATTCTAAACATTCTAAGCTTATTCCAAAGCGTCGGGCACATTTTACCATGGACTAACGCTCAGGAGACGCCACATAAACGGGCATTCGAGGCCAGCACAATGCAGGGAGACCATGGAGGACCCACCGCATAGCAGAATCTGGATCATGAATGATACTTTGTCTGTTTCTGCACGGAAGCCCGACAATCTGTGTGCCACCGGACTCTTTCAACGTGTGGAAATTGACTCAGGCTGGCTGAGATGCAAGGGGGATTTGCCTAAGTTTTCCATACTGGGAAAGTGTGTTGATGGTCATTTATGTGACATTCGGACTTTATTTTGTGGATCAGCTGGTTTTGAAAGGAATAGCGATCGAGCATAAGGGCACTTCTTTCTTTTAAAATCGACATTGTCTGGCTTATTGGGCTGGGATCATGCTAGGACCTAGGTTGACGTGTTTATGCGACATGTTAATAATAAATGGACTTCTGCTTCATTGTCTCCATATTTATTGCTTTTATGAGGGTACTTAATGGAGTCTGAAACACATTTACATCACTTGGCAGATTTTTGAATCCGTATAATTGCCCATGCCCCCTTGCTTGGTCTCCTTACTGAGCTGTCCTCACCACCACGGTGCTCTACCTCAACCATGCCCTACACCTTGGTTTGATATGATGGTATCTACTCTACGGAGCTCTCGCTATTCCTTTTGGTATTTTTCTCGGCGGAAGAGGTCACTGTGGTAAGCACGACGTCAGCCTTTGTCCAGTTCCAAAGGCTTCCTGCTACCTTGGTAAGACAGATCAATAACAGCGGTTACTCCTAGTTGGGTGTTAAGACCGTAAAAACATGACAATGGTTAAGACAGTTGCAAAAGATAAAGCACGACAATGATTTTCATGTCCCCGGTTGATCTACCACTTATGTTGAATAGACGATAGAGCCAACAGTATGTCAATTGATTAACTAGCGACCGTCGCCTGGACAGTTGAAAGATACATTCACGAGAAACAAACGAAAGAATTTCATATTGCAAAACACGTCGTCAATCCAGAGTCACGCAGCGTTAGCGATTTTCTGCAGCTGCTCATACGATCCGTTAAAGATATCGGAGTCACCACCGTGCTTATAGCTGTCGGAGTTTTGCCAGATGGTGTAGGTCGGCCAGTCGCCAGGGATCGTCGACGGCGCCGAGCTGCTATATGCGGCAAGCACGAGAGGGCAGGTCTGGCCAAACCCGCCGGCATTTCCGGTGCAGGTCTTCCACCAGTCGGCGGTGCTGTAGATCATGGGGTAGACCCCAGTGGCCTTCTGATACGTATCGACGAAGTCCTTGATCCAGGCGACCATATTCGCGGCGCTCAGACCGTAGCAGGTGCCACCCTCGTATGGGTTGTATTCGATATCGAGCATACCGGGCAAGGTGATGCCGTCCTTGGACCAGCCGCCGCCGTTTTTGAGGAATTCTTGCGCTTGTGCTGCGCCAGAGGAGGAGTCGGGAGTCGCGAAATGGTAGCCTCCGCGAATCAGACCGGCCTCAGTAGCACCTTGGTAATGTGAGCTAAAGAGCGGGTCCTTGAAGGTCATGCCCTCGGTTGCCTGCGACTGTTAACAACGCGATCATAAGGTTGAGATGAACGATGTCACACCTTAATCATGACGAAGCGGGCGCCATCATTATAGGCAGCCTTGAAGTCGACGGTGGCTTGATGGTTGGAGATATCAAAACCCTGGACTGTCTCAGCAGTAGCCTCCAAGGACAGGCCGGCGGCAGCGGTCAAGGCAAGGGTGGAGAGCTTCATTGTGGTCGCTGGTTGTCTGTGTCTGGCGAGTGCTGACCGTGGGATAGATGGGATCTTCTGGTGGGTGTTCGACCCTATATATAAGGGTGCTCCAGAGTGGATGAAATTGGCGCAAGGTGTCGGACCATCATTCAGGATACATGGAAATCACCATGTCGGGCAATCATGATGCACATCACAATCTAGGTGAGCACTGCAGAACTCAATGTGTAGATTAGATTGTAACGTCGGTTGAATGTTGTCAGATGATCCTTGTAAGAGATGGGAAAAGGGGCAACTGTTATTGGCCTTCGGGCTTTCGTGATATGTGACGTTGTGGGGCATTCTCTGGATACGAAGTCTTAGATGCACCGGTGGCTCCCTTGTTGTTATTTTTAAACACGACACGAACCGCTGGCAGTCCTTCTGCCAGGGCGGGCAAGCATAAGTTATCATGACTAAGTTGGAAAGCGCTCTAAAGCTGCAGCATCTTCAGCTTGAGCGTGAAAAAATGGGAAAAGCCGAGGGTTGTTGTGGCACGCCGGACGATCTCTTCTCTATATCGTAAAGATCGACCCTAAGTCCCCGAGATTTATGGGACTTGATGGAGGACACATCCAATCCGCACGACGCCAAGTCGGTCAATACGAGATATCATAGGATATAACCAGGGTGAAAGGGCCTCTAATATGTTTTGATAAGAGGACGTGCCTTTTGTCCGGTTTCACATACATAGACCCTGTTATACAGCAAGATAGTTAGATTATGCGTACAATTATACAAGTAACTGGAGTTATACCATCAATGGAATGTTCAGCCGGCTCATCCACTGCGACTCCGGTTATAATCGGTCGATTCGCCCTCGATAGGAAGACATAATTCCATGCGCGGTAATAGCTGGAAGTGCGAGGAGCTGGCTGCGCCGAGGCGTGTAGGCGATAATGATCAGTTCACTTGCAGCCAATACTTGCAATTTTCAGATATATGGGCATTGACCCTCTGGGTTCCTTTCAAATAGTTCTGCGAACGATAAGAATTATATCTCAATGCAGACAATAGCAATTGATATTGCCAGTTTCGTAACACGTGCTTCATAGGGCTGTTCGGGTTCCGCAGGTGCTACCACGATACTAAACAAGCGAATTCTTGGAGCATGTCTCCAACGCTGACTTGTAGTGAGCCGGGTGCCGGGCTGTGTACAGCTCGTCAATAGCCCTCTCACAGACGAAAGGTATTGATTCGAACATACAGGGTGATTTTAAAGCTCAGCGCTTTGAGAACCTGCCACCACTAACAGTATACACATGGCGAGACTGCGGTCACTCTGATTTGTCTGAACGTGTAGTCTCAAATGGAATGCTTTCCTGATGTACTTGAGATATCATCTCTTATGGTTACATCATCTAGCTGTCCGATGATGCTGTGACTGCAGTATACTCTGTCGGAACATAAGACTTGAGCGGGGCGTTTACGAGCACGCCAATCACGGGCGTGAGTTATACGTTGGGCCAAGGATAAAACCGTTGAAATTTCGGATATCGACGAATAAGTGTGAGAATGGCGGGCACTAGTGCACGCATCAGTCCACTTCCTGCCCATTCGCCCGCGATGGTAGCCCATCAGGCTCTCCCCGGAGGACCTCCGGCCAGAATGATCTATAAAAGCCATACTGCAGGAAAAGGCCCTTCACAAGCCCAGTTGTTCTGTTCATTTTGACCGGATTTCGCGTTTTCCCGTCTACCATGGCCTCGGGAGTTGTCATCGACCCATACGCCCTCCTTCGGGCAGCGCCGCTTGCAACAAGCACCGGAAGTCTCGTTCTCGCTACTAGCGAACTCATATATTACTCAGGGCTGGTGCAGCCGCCGACTCGTAAGAAGTCCGACTCGATGCTCACAGAGTACTGGCGTTATGTATTCCCTAGGGGAGTGAGCCTCGTACTGGCGCTCAACGTCACGACAATTGGCACCTCATTATGCAATATCTTTCTGAAGAATCCTCGCTCCCGGCCGCTACCTGTGTCCCGTACAACGTTCTACTGGGCTGGCCTTATTGGGGCTATTGGGCATCTGGCTTTTGTGCCGTTCGTCGCGCCACCGATTCAACGCATCCTGGACAATACTGACCCCGAAGCCGAAACGAGTAAGGAAATGGATATCTGGCTGGGCATACATCGGGTTCGCATGTTGGTGGCGGATATACCTGCCTGGTTGGCGTTCGTGGGTGCTGCGATGTTGACGGATCTGTGAGCACACTAACAGGGGGCTTTTTGGTTGCCCGATGACCATATGGAATTATTGCTAAGGCTGTGTGGATTGATACTTGTATAGTAGTAAGCTATACTGGTCTGGATGCATTCACCTTGGTCGGGATCCATGGACTCGGTGGTTGAAGGCTTGATGTATGTATAAAAGGCAGTGGGGCGTGAAGGGGAGCTTGCTGTCCCAACACATTGGCTATGTATGTTATCTGATGAATCTCAGGCAGTCCAGTTATAGATAGTGACCGGGCAAGCTGGTGAGTAGCTTATGAGCTCGTTGATCAACACCAGTCTGCGTTGACTGATAACATGCGTTTCAGCATCCTTTTCTGCTGTCGCGGGAAACGGCAAACACCGTAAACACACAAATCAACAGGCGAGACGTGAGCGATAACAAGTGAGAAAGATCAGTCACAATAACAAGTAATTGTAGACAAGAGATAGCTACAGCTGATAATCATCGGCGGACTCCGTCATGCGGGGAAGTTTTCTGATAAGCAGATCGACTCGCATCGTTCATGCCCCACATCCATAAGCATTTGCTAGCTTCTGAAGGCTTAAAAGCCCAGCTACAAGCATCTTCGGGGTTGCAAAGCTCGCCTCGGAGCACGTTAGCCCTACACGATGGCAACAAAGTACATTGACCGTTCGATTCCCCGAATCTCCCTGGCCGATTTCGACCAGCGCATCGACGAGATCACGGCGGCCCTCGTCCACGCCGCCGAGAATGTCGGCTTCTTCACGATCGTCGATCACGGTATCTCTGCCGATGAGATCGATACCATGTTCGCGACCGCCGAGCGCTTTTTCAACCTCCCCGACGACGTCAAGGCCACCGTGCCGTGGAATCCCAACAATGTCGGGTGGGAAAAGGAGTCCCAGGTCAGGCCATCCACAGGCCAACCGGACACCAAGGAATCATACCAGTTGCAGTTTGGAGAGAACATGGCCAACATGTGGTTGGACGATGTCCACCTCGCCGGGTTTCGAACCACCTCCTTGACCTTCATGCATCGCGTGCAGGCTGTGTCGGAACAATTGATGCGGTGCTTTGCACGCGGGCTCGGCTTTCCGGAAGAGTACTTCATCCAGTGCCATGATGTGTCTCGTCCCAATGAACAGACGACCATGCGACTGCTGCATTACTTTGCTCTTCCGGAAAGGCCTGACGGGAACACGTATCATCGGGCAGGTGCCCATGCCGACTGGGATTTCCTGACGTTGCTGTTTCAGAAGGACGGGCAAAGCGGACTGGAGATATGTCCCGGTCGCGAGGCTGTGACGGAGTTTGGGATCGGCGACGAATGGACTCCTGTGGACGCGCGCACGGGTGAGATCGTCTGCAATATCGGGGACCTGCTCATGTCGTGGTCGGATGATCGCTTCAAATCGACGTTCCATCGTGTGAAAGCTCCGTCCGAGCCGGGGGATTACTATGGCGATCGGTACAGCATTGCATATTTTAATCAGCCGTGCAAGGATGCGCTCATCCAGGGTCCGAAGAAGAAATATCCCATGCTGACCGGGGAGCAGTTCAATGCGCAGGCCATGCAGAGAAACTTTGCTGCCTTGCAGGAGAAGCTGAAGACCATGGAGGCGTCAGCCTGAGTCACTTGGGATCATGTACTTCATTGCTAATTGACAAGGTTCTATGTACAAAGTCTGTCCAGTATATGTCTATTCACAGTGCCCACCGGGCCGTCTCATATAGGTTCAGAAGACGGTGCCCCTGACCTGATTGAGTTTCTTTAAGCGAATATCCCTCCACATCAGAATAGAAGCAACAGCAAGCGGTAGGATGGAAAGACCAGCAATCAACATCCGTCGTTGGGCTACTCCGTACGCCAGGATGGTAGCATCCCGTTCTGGGGTCCCGATCGGGTACGATAGGACGTCTTCAATCGACCCGTAGAGCTCCGCCGCCTTGTGTTTCTTCTCTGGAGGCAGGTATCTCTCCAAATAGACGGGAACAGTGCTTGTCCAGATGGCACCCGAAATCGCAGAGCCGATGCCTCCTCCCAGTTTGGTGAACAACCCGACCAACGCGAAGGAGACAGCGACACTCTCATGGCCACCTGTGGCCATCGCTGCCATCTGCTGGCAGATTACCAGGGTGCCCCCGCCCAGGGCCTTGAAGACTTCACAAAGGACGACGTATTCGATGTGACTTTGAGGTGATCGGAAATGGATCATCAGTCCTGTCCCGAGAAAGATCAATGGCATGGCGGCTAGAGCGATCCATTTAAGGCGATCGACCTTGCGGATGATCCTATGCGATGTTAGAGAGGAAGAGCAACTCGAAAGGGGTTGTACTTACAGTCCCAGTGGCACCGACCAAAGGCATGTCCCAATGGTATAGATGTTGTAAATGTAGCCCGTCTCCCGGATGCTGGTGTTGAAGGTAACCTGGAGGTAGGAAGCAAGGTAAAGATCCCAGCAGCTATGACATGTTAGCAAGGGCTCCGTATAAAGAATGCGCATCAGGACAGCATACTAAAAGCTGGCAAAAAGGGAAGCAGCAAGAAAGCAAGCTCCCAACAACGTTCGATCCTTGAGCCTACTGAATGGTAGGAAACAGACTGGGGCACAAAAGCGCTCCCAGAACACAAATGCCATAAAGACAAGCACGCCGAGAAACAGCGACGCCGTAGTATCCAGCGATCTCCACCTATCAAACAAGGACATATTACCATTACGGGCCTGTGAGGCTGGCGTCAATGGAAGGAGCATCAAAACAAATGCCACTGTTACTAACGAGAGT